GGTGTTTAAATACAAGCTTTAACCAAGAGTAAGAAACATTAGTCTTTCTCCATGACCAGATAATAGATCTTCCTCACGAGCCCCCAAACTCTGAAGTACATCTAGTGTGCTGCTCAATTTCCTGTCAGTCAAGCATTGCAAATGTGGTCAAAGGCTTATCGATTTTCAACAACAAATGTGAAAGTGATTATGCCTAATGAAACTATTATGTGAACGCCTTAAGTGTTTCCTTGGTGGTTTCCCCTCTGTGAAAAGACAGACATTATTTTCTTTCTCCAGGACATTTTCAAAAGGAACACTGGTATAAATGGTAGGAAAGAAAAAAACAAAGTTTGTTTCTGGTCAGAACTCCTTAGCTCCATGCTAATAAAATCCAGATTTAAAAAGAGGAGACAGAGAAAAAGAAAGTGGCTGTGTTCAGACTTTTGGCTCAGGGGTGGCCTAGAGGAACACCTGCCCTGGGGAAATGTTCCACGAGATAAGATCCTGCCACAGAGCTAGAAGGCGCCCTGCAGGGGGACAGGGTGCACAGGCTGGAGCAAATCACTGCACATTTCCTGCCTTCTTCCTTATAGTCCCCTCTGTGGTTCACTCAGACCCTTGGAGGTGTCATGGCCAAGCTCTAGTTTTCCAAGATCAGACAGCCCCCCAGGTTTGGCTTTCTCTGCTTCTCCGCCAGGCAACCTCAAAACGCTAACATGTGGTCAGATCCCTGTCTGTGAAAATGACCATTCTCTCAGACACCACAAAAAAGAGATTCGCAGGTTGGACGGGGCCTCTTTCCCCTTCCTTTAAAGCAGAGGTGGCCGTCCTTGGGTCTGGATGCTGTCTATTTCTTACCACTTTTACATGCAACCTTTGAAATGAGCAGAGAAACCAAAGACCAAAAAGAAAAAGCATTCAAGTGTACCACTCTGGACCATGTTTGCACTGATTGATCCAATGTAATACTAAGAACATGAGGACATCTGAGGGCAGACTACCTACCTAACAACAAACTCAGTAGTCATGTAAATTCAGTGTAAGTTCCTTCTCCTGTAGGGCTGTGCAGAGCTTAAGGGTAGATTGTTTCTTATTTTTGGTTCCTTGACATCCTGTGCCCTCCTAGTTTCCCCGTCCTCTACACACTCTGAGCCCTTGAGAAGTGCTTACTGAGTTTTGCTCATGAACTCTGGCTCCAGCATCCTATCCGATTAGTCTCCTCTCTCCAGTGTGCACCTGCCACCCAAAAGAGGTTCTGATGACATTGTTTTT